TTTTATCTTTACTCTTGTCAATGTAAGGTGATTATTTAGAATTGTGCTATACAAATAAACTATGCCTTGTCTATTCATATATCATTTCACAAACCAACGTCACACAGCGCTTTACTGTAGCATAGTACAGTATTATGTAGAAAGGATTTGCAACAGTAGCACTAGCAGAAGCAGAAGTAGAAGTAGTAGTAGTACTAATAGTAGGATAGAGTGTACCTTGTGGCATTTGGCTCTATGCTCTGTGTGTTGGCTCGGGTCCAAAGCCTTGAGTCACACAAATGAACTGTGACATTGTGACAGCTGGAGATACGGGCCATTGCTATGCCTCAAACACATACATTCTTACATTTATTTCACAGATTTTCTACATGGGTACATGCGCCGTTTTTCAGGTCTCAGAGGATGCAATAGGGTTTAATAGCAGATGCTACCAAGAATTTATATCTGGATTTATTTTGGATTCTTGATAACTTTTGATACTTACTTTTGCAGCAGTAGTTTGGTTTTAAGGTAAAGTATATAGAGACTTTTATGTGAGACAACAACATTGATAATATGTGTTCATGTTATCTTGGCCTCCACATAAAGCAATCAGCAACTGTGATTGAAAGTGGAGTTGACTCACATCAATTTGGCTTATAGCCAAAACAACTTTAACACAATTGAATCTTTTAGTTTAATGAGAATCCCGCTCCCTTTTGCCCTTCCATCTATCACGTTGTGTTTGTGAAACGCAACCCAGTGTAGGTTTAAGCACAAAGTCGTGATCCTGTGAAATATATTGTGATCTTATCCGAGTCCCGACTAGATGACATCACACACTTAGGGGCTCTTAAAGACGTGGCGCCAGCTCATCCGTCACTGGACACATTCAGGCTGCTCTCGATGATGTCAGAACAAATTAAAATGCAACAACGAAAGAAACAGCCTGGCCTTAGCCATCCGTAAACTCTGGTCAATTATTATTTCCCTACATGTACGTTAGTGGCTGCGGTTACGTCAGTTGTATCCCCTTCGATCATTCAGCGAGCGGGGGAAGCTGGTGTTGTTGGTAGGTGTCGGTGACGTCAAGAATTTGCGGCAAATTTGCTGTATGTAGTTTGGAAATGGCGCCGAATGCGACTGTAAAGTAATCCTTTCTGGTACGGATCAAGAAATTGAAGCCGGAGTAAGTGGAATGTTTAGCAAATGTCATTTCTGGCAAAGAGTTGTGTCTTTATTCCCCACGGTTAGTGGCAAAAGAGATGGCTAAATCTAGGTTAAATGCTAAAGCAACTCACTTGAGGGCATTACATACATCACGGCAAACTCAGAACTATCAGTGCGAAATTAAATTTGTACAATGGTTCAAGACCAGAAAAAACATATTTGAAATGACTGTGATACAAAAATGATCTGCAACTCACAATTTTCTTAATTCTGAGTAGCAAACATTGTATTTATTTTGTATGCATGAAAATCCAATATATATATATATATATATATATATATATATATATATACCTTCAACCCTTTAAAAAACCATTGTGGCATTTTGTGGGGAGTTTACAGAGATCGACGTCCAGTTGCCCAGTGTGCTCTATAAAAAGCCCTTATTTTAGCTGAGTCAATGACAATTCACTGCAGACATGTGGCACCGCAGACGTATATACACAACATAGCAATCTATGCAACCCATTGCCACCAATACCAAATGATCATGAGCAATTAAATTCAGCTTTTTTTTACTCTCATTGTTTTACATAAGCAAAAGCTGTACATTGAAAACTTCCAATTCATGTTTCAGCTATTGTGTTGGCAAAGCACTTTGTTACAATGCAATATTTGAACATTAATACATGAGTGCATGTAAACCAGATACAACAATATAAGTTTGCATCACAAGCTCAAACACATCTTGTGGAAGTTGGGCCACAACTCTAAAATCTGGAAGCACTTTTAAATGTTCTGTCCGTCAAATTAACTTTATTGTTACAAGTGCACAATCTTTGAAAAACACAGTACAAAACAGACAAAACATTTGAACCATACACAGGATCTATATTGCTAGGGATCATGGAGCCAAAGTATGTCTATCAGGTCGCATTCAGAATACCTGATAGCATACTTTATTGTTTAATATAGAGAAAATATTACAAACAACAGTCAGTCAGAGCAAGTGACGCCACGGTCTGATGACATCCGGGTCCTCATGTTCTGGTTTCACTCCTGCATCCTGATTGGAGTGGATTGGTCCGCTGTTTTTCTACACCAAAATGTAGATGTTTATGTACTGTCAGTGTGGCTTCTCTATGTTTCTGCGTGTCCCTTATTATCAGTGACCACATTTGTAGATGCAAGACATTTTCTGAGCTGTGTATCAAACCTCATAACCCACTGAATGATGCGAACTCGGGAGTGTTTGATATTAAGCTCTTCAGAGTTATTTACAACATTTGGAACCAGAAGTAATTGTATGTGTTGAATCATTGAAATCATTGCTACTATGGCACAAATTGAAAATCTACAGTTAAATGTATCTCCAAAAGAAGTGTCCTGGGAAGTGACTACAGAGTGTATGTACCGTGTCTGATACCAAAGCTGTCCCTGTCAGTACGGTGTTGTTCTGCAGAGTCCTCAGGGTTCATTTTGACTGTCACTTTTTTATTGTCCCAGAGTCACTTCTGACACTCTGTTATGAGTTTGTAGTCGTTTGTGCAAAAGCAGGAATAGCAGTGAAATGATGACATACAGACATGCAATATGTCCTTACACCAAAGGGAGATAAGAAAGGAATAAGAGAAAAAAAATTGACGGCCTCCCTTTATTGTAGAACAATGCATTGACTTTGGATGCACGGTATATTGCTTACATTTTTTTATTGCTTGTTCAGATTTAGTCTTGTTTTATTATGAAATAATTACATGCTTGGTTCCCCTTCTTAATGTATGCTCTTTATCTGCCATTCCTATCATCCACAAGTTGCTGCTTTCAGAATGAAATTAGGTAAAATTCTGACTTCTCAGGCTCAAGGATTTATTAAGTTCCTACAGCGGCAATGATGTAAGTGTCTTTTTGAAGAAAGTCCTTCAATAGCGTAGTGGATCAGTGCAATAGAAAAGCCATTGGGCTTTTGTGAAAGTGGCAGATGGAGGCAGTAAATCTGCAGATGTGAATAATATATTGTGAAGCATCTGGCCATTCACGACTTGTGGAGTCGTATGTGTGATGGAAACATGTTTTCATGTCTGAGGTTTTGAGCTGTGATGGTTCAAAGAGAATACTTCAGGTGGTCACTGAGGTCTGAGATCTGATCTTAGAAGACAGTGTGAGTTCAATGGAGTGAAAAGCACTAAATGGTGCATGTAGTAAACTATGTATGTGTCTCCTCGAGCCTTTGCCAGGAGATGCAGCAGGCGTGTGTGTGTGTGTGGACACACGCCTGTGTGGAGATGTGTTTATCAGGTACTGATAAACACATCAGTATTGATGATATGATAATTTCATTGGAAATGTATTATACAGCCTCACTTACTGGTGTGCGAATCCAGAAGTGTCTGGATTCGCACACCCTCATTAGAATTGTACAAACTTAAAGTTATTAAAGAATAAAAATGCTATTTGATGGTATCATTATATTGTTGATGGTGGTAATAGCCAATATCTATATGGGTTCAATATTTCTGTAAAGTTTCTGTGGACTGTTTTGAGGGTGCATTTAGGCTGTATGTTTGTTTGTTTGCTTTTCCATGCAATTGATGGTACAATATGTGTCCATGGTTAAAACAGAAGTGAAAGTCGTACTAACATTTGAGAGAGACCTCTGAGATATGTAAATGCAAGTCAATACAACATTCTCAATGGGTATTGTCTACAGCCTAAACCCCATCAAGGATCTTAAGTGGGTTTGGGGAGAAATGATCTTTGTGCCACTGTGTCACTGTGCCACAAGACTGTATATGGAGGAAGGTGTGGTCCTTCAACCAGGGCTGGTTACCATGGGACCTACCCCAGTATCCACTGGGGACATTAGACAAGACTTAACGGTGAGACGTCATGGACCTAGGACATGCCCCTGGCTAATTTGGGAAATGTGGAAGGAACTGAATATTTCAAATTCAGAACAAATAATGAAATGATGATGGACAATGGGGTTGTTTGTCTGTAAATTTTGTGTGTGATAAAAATGTGTGATTTATTTATGACAAAATAATGATTATTTAGTAATGTTAAATAGAATAAGAAAATATAGATTTTTAAACTTATTAACCTCTGGGTGGGAATATCAATGAATGATTCAACTCCCAATAGTCTGCTTTGTTTCATGAACAGTATTTATGCACTCTAAATGTTTCTGTCGTTGTGAGTAACATCATCAGCCCTTTGGAGAAAGACAGAAACATCTCCAGTGACTGAACACTTTTTTAGGGATTGGACTCAGCTCTAACATGCATGCACTCCTTCACACCTATCTTTTTTATTGTTTTGTTGACATTAATAGATTTCTCATATGGGGAAAATACTTTGAGAGACATCACTGTCAGTACACAGTATGCTACAAACTTGAAAAGAGTATAAGTAGTACAAATGCTGATGTACAAAGATAGTTTTGTGTCTAATAGAACTGACTATGATCACTACACAACTGTTGAGCCTTGTACTTATTGTGGGTACATTATAAGTCCTCCAGTGTGTTCCATAGCGTCTTTTTGATATCCCACTTTCAGAGTGGCCAGGGCCAGTGGGAGCGACGACACAATGGCACTGTCTCAGAGCTCCACCACCTTCACAATCTGGAGGTGCATCTGTGCTGGTGCAGCGGGCCGCGCTGGTTTACAGAGCTGCTACAGATTGTCATAGAGGTGTGAGAAGAGGGACCTCACACTGTGAGTGGACACTCAATTATTTAGAACAGCCTTCCGGTTCAAAGAGTTATCTACTCCTGACTACATCCAGGCTCCAAAATATGCCTCATGTCCTTACACTGGCATATGATATTTTTGTCTGGTTTGGTTTGTCCCTTACACAGTGACCTCCGTCTTGCTGTTGGTGGGCAGTCCTTTGTGCTTGGGGTGCATGAGTGGAGAATGACCATAGCCCAGCGGCTGTGAGAAGAGCTCTGGGAGGGTCTCGATGCTAAACTGCCTCTTGTTGGAGTAAATGTGACGTCTGTTCTGTGGGTGCAGGACCTGGTGCTGTGGAGGCAGGGGGTGGTGCAGAGGGCCCTGCAGGCCCATGTGGCTGTGCTGGATATGACTCTTGCTGGGGTCCCAGGCTTTGAATGCAGAGCTAGTGGTGAGCGGATGGGTGTTGGTCTTGGCAATCTTGGGCTTGGGGATCTGCGAGGCATTGATGGTGATGGCAAGAGGTACATGGATGTCAGGGGGTGGTAGGAAGGGCTTGTCCTTGGGGTGGAAGTTGACTGGCTGAAATGTTGGTGGGGACTGGCGATGACCATACTCTAGCATTGGATAACTTTTGTAGTAATCTCTTGTAGTTGTATCTGCAAAAGGGAAAAAGGTTGCATCATCAGTGTGGTTTTTCATAAGCTCGAGATCATGCACTTCAGTTTGTGTTTGTGTAAACGCTCAAAAAGCGTAAATTCCCCTTTATGCTCAATATATTTGAAACATTGAATTTGGCCTTCCTACTCAGGCATGTGCAGAATAAAGTATGCATAAATAGTTGCTTGACTCCCACATCAACAACTGCTGGTGCTGTCCCTTTGAGTGTCCGCACACACGTCTGCAGCAGGAGCCTCTGACAGCTCTGTCCTCTGTGCCGCTCTGATTCAACAACTCAGAGTGGGTAGATCAGTGGGTAGATCTGCCACTGATCTACCCACCAACTTCTACTACTTGGTTTTGTGCAGGGATACAGCTTCTATCTACTGTCATCATCAGCGGCTGTGTTGTAATCAGCTATGTAACTTTGTCATGAGGTGCACGAAGGAGGACCCAAAAAGCAGGAATGCAGAAATGATGATGATGATAAAATTAAAGTCTAAGGTATACACAGATTCAAAAGTCCAAAATCCAAAATGAACCACAGGAACAAGGAAAACAACAAGGACAAGAACAAAAAAGACAATGAACCAGCTACAAATGGGGAAGAGCACAGGGTGTGCGTCTGGGGAAGAATGTCCCGGACTCTCGAATTATAAATACAGGAGCGTGTGTTCTTTCTCCCCTGCTCTTCTCCCTGTACACCAACCACTGCACCTCCGGCCACGACCCTGTTAAGCTCATCAAGTTCACAGATGACACCACTTTCATTGGACTCATCAACAACGATGAGTCCGCCTACAGGAGGGAGGTGGACCGGCTGGTGTCCTGGTGCAGTGGTAACAACCTGGAGCTGACGCCCAGAAAACAGTAGAGATGATTGTGGACTTCAGGAAATGCACAGTCCTCTCGCCCCCGCCCTCCCTGGTGGACTCCTTCATCACCTCTGTGGAGCCCTTTCGTTTCCTGGGCACCACCATCACCCAGGACCTAAAGTGGGAGGCGACCATCAGCTCCCTTATCCAGAAGATGTACTTCCTGAGGCAGCTCAGGAAAGCCAAACTGTTTGCACAGGTTTTGGTGCAGTTCTACACGGCCATCATCGAGTCCATCCTCACCTCCTCCATCACCGTGTGCTTCGCTGGAGCCACTGTCAGCGCATTGTGCACTCTGCAGAGAGGGTGATAGGCCGCAGCCTCCCATTGCTGCAGGACCTCTACGACGCCCGAACTTGAGGCCAGGCTGGTCGTATTGCAGCCGACCCCTCTCACCCTGCACATAGAATGTTCCAACCTCTCCCCTCGAGCAGGAGACTACGGTCCGTTCGGACCAGAACCTCATGCCATAAGAACAGTTTCTTCCCCTCTGCTGTTGGACTCTTGAACACTTCATAACTTGTCCCCCAACCCTTTATAAAGTCACTTTACTGCCCATCGTAACGTCACTTTACTGCTGTCACCTAATGGCTCTGCTTACTGCACATGTGTCCACCATGTGCACATGTATATTGTATATAGTAATTGTAATTGTTATAATTTTATTTTAATTTTTACACCTTTAGTGTATGCTGACCTCCCTTCTTTGACTGTTGCACCGAGCCAAAGCAATTTCCAAGTCTGTGACTTCCTGTTACTTACATGGCAATAAAAATTATTCTGATTCTGAGGGTAATTGGACTCTTATTGGATACTATGTTGAACTTCTTATCCATGGAAATCAATTGAAAATCACATGTTTGTCTTACTAACGCCTTCAAACTTAATTAATTGCAAAACTGTATGGTGAACGTGAGTATTTTGGGATAAATATGATTCTATACTGTCCAATATATGATCGCGTACTTTTTAGAAATATAGGAGCTATTTTTGAGTGTTTAATGAGTGATATTTTTCTTGTCTGTCCTCCTTTGTTCTCCATTGCACATCATTTAATGAGCCTATATTTATTACATACTAGCCTCCTGCATTATTGATTATGTGGAGGGAGGGCAGTTTATGAAAGAGTGGTGTTGGCATAACTTCAAAACTGAATTGCTCCTATACTCCATCTTAAGCCTTGTACTTTTCATTAGGATTGGACTGCAGTGTTCCAGGTAGCTGCAGTATTCGCTGGCATTGGGTCAGCTCTCATAGTGTGTCCTAGCCATGACTTTGTGGACACAGTGAGAGATGTTTTGGATGGAGCATACTACTCACATTAGATCCCATTGAATTGCACAGTTGATATTTTCCATTTAATTTGAATCTTACTAATAAACAGTGTGGTAATTTGATTAATTCACTATTGCAATATAATTGTTTATTTTTCAACCCAATAATCCAACCCAAACACTCAATAAATTAACCAGTGAAATGTTCCCGTCTTTCAAGACGCTCTGTCATAATGATGCTGTGTTGTACTGTGCACTCACCCAGAGCTTTGAGGGACGTGTACTTATTGAAGCCCATTCCCAGGTTGTTGTGAGGGTGAGACAAGGCCATGGCCGGGCCCAAAGGAGACAGCGACGCATTGTTCAAGTGGTTATGCTCTGCGGAGAGAAGAGGGAGAGGGACGCAGACCAGAAAATAATTATTAGAAAACAATGAACCACCACAGGGTGTGACCAGCTTCTCACTCAGTCATGTGATTGTCTTTACTGTCCAGCGAACTTCCGTCTCAGGTCTCTGCACTGGCTTCCTGTGGCTCAGAGAATATACTTTAAATATTTTTTGACTTAATACTTTAGTATTATACCTAATTTTATTGGAGGAGTCAAGACACATTATCTTAAATAATAGGTCCTGTTTGATGTGTGCAATCGGAGTGCTCTTATTTCATCCTTTCTTATATTCTGCTTTAATGTGAGCATGATGACACTGAAATTCCTCCATTGTGGGACGAATAAAGGTTTATCTTATTCTTCTCATTGGAATGTAATTTAAGTTGTCATTTTGGTAAATCATATGTGGCTATAAAATATGCTGAATGCTAAAATGGCTGTATTGTAACTCACTTTGGCGCCAGGAAGTCTGGGGGAGCCCACATAGAGGTTGAGCCCAGCCCGAACAGGCTTTAAGGATGATAATAGAAGGCCTTGTCACATTGTCCTTTTGTTGTCTATTGGTTTCTCTTCCTGTGGAAGATGTGTCTTGATTCCTCCAATACTGCCTTACGGTTGAGGCTTCAGACATGTTTTGGACACGAGGCTGAGCTGAGCTGTGCTCCTTCTCTACAGAACTTGTGTCCTTGGAATGCGACCAAGTATAAAGAATGTAGAAACTGATTTTGTCAGGATTGACTGTAAATCACACCAATAACAGTTGGGCCCCAACACACTTTCCTGCAGACGCTGAGAGTGCCTCAAAGATGGACTTCTGGAGCAGCAGTGAGGAGGTATTCATTTTGGAACTGCAGTTAGAACCCAGCTTTGGGGCACGATCGCTTTCTGCATCTAAGTTGACAGGCGAACAACAGTCTTTCCTGACGACATCGCAACAAAAGGCAAGTTCTATACACTGTTAATTATGTCCAGGACTAGTTTGGGAAGCAGTTTGAAGCTCACATGAACACGGTTCATTTAGGATAATGCAGAGTTATGCCTTAGTCTGGGAATTTATAAAGAGCTCAGATGAACAGGGTTTCATTCAAAAGGGTGAGCTCTGGAATCTCATTCTTTACCTCACAAATAAACGTTCTCCCAACCCTTCCTCCCGTCTACCATGCATCCCCCATCACCCTCCTAGCAGGATCCTCTTCACCTTGGCCTTGTGATTTTGCCACAAACTGGAGGGCAAGTTTCAACCACCTCTTCTCAAGGGGCATCTCCCGTACCTCAACCAGGAGAGCTGGTACTGAAGTTGTTCGGAAGAATCCACAGCACACTCTAAAGGCTTTGGCTTGAACTACATCCAACTTAGCCAGACTTGTTTTAGCTGCATTCCCATACACCAGGCTTCCATAGTCCAGAAAAGATCGCACCATTGCTCTGTAAATCATCAACAGGGTGGATTTGTCTGCTCCCCAGTTACTACCAGACAGGCATCGCATTTCATTAATAAGTTTATTAAATGTACTTACAACTTTCCCAATGTGCCCGTTCCATGTCATCCTTTCCTCAAAATAAACCCCCAAAAATGTTTAAATCCCTTTCCAGTGCCATACGATAAAGCTGCAGACCTACGCTATCAATCTTTTTGTTTCTGAAGATTTTAAATTTTGACTTCTCCACTGAGATATTGAACCCCCACTGACTTTCCCATTCCATTTTCTCATCTCAACGCTTTCTGCAATATATAAAAAATAGTCAATATTTCTCCCCCTCCTCCAGACCGCCCACCCATACCCCGGCCCCACACAAAAATCATATATCATTACATTAAACAAAACTGGACTAATAACACTCCCCTGGGGAGTACCATTGTCAATGTTTACTGACTGGGACAGTACACTTCCTACTCTTACTTGAATTGTTCGACCTAATAGAAACGCTTTAATCCAATTCAAAGTGCGACCTCTAACACCTGCATCAAACAGTTTCACTATAAGTCCTTCTCTCCACAATATATCATAGGCCTTCTCAATATCCAAAAATACAGCCACAAGAACCTCTTTACAAGCGATTGCTTTCCTAATATCACAATGGTGTTTCTCCCTTTCCTGAAGCCATTCTGATATGGGACAAACCATCTCTCTTTTTCTAACTTGTACACTAGTCTGTCTGTCACCATTCTTTCCATAATTTTACACAATACCGACGTAAGCGCAATGGGTCTGTACGATCCTGGGTTGTTTTTAGCCGTCCCTGGTTTTAAAATGGGAATAAACCACTGCCTGCCTCCAGGCAACTGGTACACGCCCTTCAGCCCATACATTATTAATTAATGCCAGAATCTCTTGCAGTACATCCTCCCCAAGATTTCAGCAATCAGCAACACAAACTATTACTCCAGTCATCCACTGTACGGTCATCAACTTGATCCAAAGCCGCGTTTCCACCGCAAGAGTTCCTGGTAGAAGGCGCGGCGTGGAACTTTTACAGGAACCTTCCTCTACCTCGGTCCTCGCTGTGTCCGTGTCTCCACTGCAGAGTAGGACCACTCAGCAACGTCATGAGTTTCGATTGCCGCATAAGCGAAACTCATTAGTTCAAACCCGTTATTATTATAGATCCATGCACCAAACCCATTTGTTTATTTTACGTTCGTGGGCGCTCCGGTTGTGGTCTTTGAGTTGTTTATAGTCCAGCTTCAGTTTTTAAAAACTTTTCGCGGCTTGTTTTGGAGTGTGATGAATCCTCAGTGCTTACAGGTGAAGCTGATATGCCTAAATATATCTTTTCATTTCGCCGCACTGCCTCAAACCCGCAAACCCCGTCTGAATCACTGTGCTGTTGTTCGCTGTTTCCAGTGGTGTCTGCTAGGCTAATGCTGCTGGGCTAATGCTGCTGAATGCCGGTTGTTTTGCTGCTTTCTGCTGGCGTCTGAGCCTGCGCAAGCTTTAGCCAATATGCGCCAAGTCCCATCAGGGCCCAACCGAGGACACATATGGAGGAGGGACTCCGTTGGGCCCCGTAAAAGTTCCTGCAAATGGCCCTGTGGAGAAAGTTCCTGCAGTGGAGACACGCACCGACAGGGCTGGCCCTGGAAAATTCCCCCGAAGTTCCTGCGGTGGAATTGCGGCTCAAGTCTCTGCTACAGGCCTCTGAAAACTCCCCCATTTTGCCTTGTTAAAATTTAACTGCTTAGGCCTAGTTTGCTCCTCTATAACCAGGGACTGCCCAAATCGCATAAATATTGGGAAGTGATCACTACCCATAGTGTACCCTTTCCATGTGTCCCACATTGCCCTACTGGCCAGCTGGGCTGATGTCATGTATAGATCTCGATAGATCTATACATGATACGCCCCCTGTTCTTATGTCAAACCTGTTGGACCTAGTGTCGTTTAAACACACCAATTCGTGAAGTTCCATCATGTCTTCTACCACCTGTCCATTTGTATCTGTATTGTTACTGCCCCACAGTTGGTTATGCGCATTAAACTCACCTACCCACACTAAGTTGCGCTATCCCACTAAGCATTCCTTCTCGCTCAACAATGTCCAAATTTACACATGGATTATACAAATTCCCCACTCCCACCTTTCCCTGCCTCACCCTCACATTCATCGCAACACACTCCAATTGAGGGTTTAAAACTAACCGTTCATATTGCACCCCCACCTTCACAAATATTGCACACCCCAACTCCAGGCCTATCTTCCCGATCTTTCCTTATAGCTTCATACCCAGGAATGACAAAGTCTAAACATGGTCTCTTGAATACAAATCACATCAGGCTTTTCCTCTTTCAGCTGTCCTACACATCGTTTAAACTCGTGGCCATTTGCAATAAGGCTACAGGCATTCCATTGGAGGGTATGAAACATTTAGTTATGTGAGATCAGGTCAAAGTGGATCTCCTTCTGCGTCCTCTACTGACGCACTCTGTGAGCTACGCACACAATTCAAATTAAGATGTTCTGGGGAAACAGACAAATCCAAAGATCTCCCTGCCTGCTTGGCTATCATGGCCTTAATAGCCGAGGGATTGTTTGTTTTTTGGCTGCCCATAGCACTTCAACCAAGAAAGCAAAGAAAGACGTTTTGTCCACAATAAATGAATTTTCTGGTATTTAAGTGTGAGCGGCCACCAGAGGGCGCCTCTGCTCTTCCCCACACGGCTGGCTCACCCCCTTTACTGCCTCTGCATAAGTGACATTCTCTTTCCCCCTGATCTCCTCAACTCTTTAAGCTCTTACACCATATTCACACCCACAAAAGGCCGCCATGTGATTGCCACTACAGTTACAGAATTTCACCTCAGAACTTGTGCACTCAGAGCGGTCGTGGTCTCCTGCGCACTTTCCGCACCTCCAACACAAACTTTCCCCCTGAAAACTTCCGTGATGTGACCAAAACGCTGGCATTTATAGCACCGTAATGGTGGCTGCACATACGGTTTTAGCGGATATACTGTACCATATATCCTAAGCTTATCTTTAGAGGTCTCACTTCTCTCACCCTCCTTCATAGTTTTAAACCTCCTCACCCCACTCACTTCAGCTCCACAAAGTTTTTTATAAGTTTTTTATGGCCCAGGAATGTAACTCTCAACAGCCCTGTCAACTAGCCAGAGCTTTCTTTCTCGGTGCCTCGGATCTACAAAACACCAATACATTCCCGTTCGAAAGGACTTTTGCATTCAATATCTCGCCTAGCTTATCTCGTATTGCTGAGGAAAATTTAAGAGTGTTCGGGGCCCTGTCAGTCTCGTCCTTAAACTTAAAGCTGCACTAACTGATTTGGAGAAATTTTCAAACGCGAGCGATGGGCTCCCTCTCTCTGCTCGCCCTCCCTGCACCCACGGAGCCTCTTCCCCTCTTCCCCCCACTAGCCTGTGCTCTGTGCTGTTGTTAGCATCGGAGCTAGCGTCTCACAATATGGAACAATATGGAACTTTT